CCATAGTGATAAGCAGATATCACCTAACAGTTCAGTACTCTTTTCTATTTTGTGTCTCTTAAATGGAGAAAAGTGCTTCGGAAAGCTCAAAGAACTCTGATCTCTGCTTAACCTAATACGTCTTCGGATTTTGGTGTCGCACTTTCTGTCCTCTGTTGGAGCATTTTTCTAAGCATTTCACCCAAAGCACGCAAGGGATTACAGAGAGCGGGAGTAAGATTAAAGAGACGTGATTGAAGATAGGATTAAGAGAAGGACGGGGAATTAGATCAAGGCAACAGAAGATGTTGATTAACATTAAATTTGAATATTTGAAGACTATAACTCTCAGGGAAGCAAATAGGAAGAAGGGAGTTCCACAGACGGGAAGTGCGAAATATGAAGCTATATTGGAGTAGAAGAGACGGCTACATTTAACCGTTTCAACTGTGAAAGGTTGTGATTGAGATGCCAACCTAGTAACACGCTTAAAGTAAAGCAGTTTGGGAAGCAGCGAAAATAGCTCGTTGAGGCTGCTACCGTGAAAGTACTTGTAGAAAAGGCAGAGGGAAGCGACGGCACGTCTGTGAGAAAGTGACTGTAGACGAGATGCCCAACCAGGACCAACCATATTGCATATCCGTCTCTGGATTTTGTCGAGGACCTTGAAACGAACAGCGGAGGCTTCAGACTATATATGGCAGCAGTATTCGATGCAAGGGCGAATGGTTGATTTAGAGATTTTAAGGATGGACTGAGATGAGAAAAACTTTCTGGCGCGACAAAGAGAACAAACTTTCCTTGTGGTAGATGAAGCTATTGATTCAGTGTATTTATACAGATATTTAAATTTCTGTACCTGCTTAATTTTAGCATCCCCGACCTGTAATTTGCATTTTGAGCTCCCTCTTTTGCTGATAGCTATGCATTCTGTCGTCCTGTTTCTATGTATTTAAATACTCTCAGTTTCTTATCGAACTCTAGCATGATGCCTATTTCAAACTTTTGTGTTGTGGAGCATAAATATCTGCTAAAATTTCAATAGATTTATCGGACCATCTTACCTTGTTGAGCATTATTATGCGAAACTCTGAAAACGATAAGTCCACTGGACATTTAATGATTTATTGAATGTACAAAGAGATGGATATACAATGTGGAACGTGTGCAGTCACTTTGAGTAGCCGAATAGTTTCTCGTTAATAGGTTATCTTAAACCTGCTCAGATACGATCTTAGTGCTCAATTCTGAAAGTTTACCTATTGACTGAGCAACCTATCAGGGGATAGGTTACCCAGTCAATAGGGAAACGTTATAGTGATTTTCCAAGCGTAGCTTAGATGTGGTACAAAGCCAAAAGTATGGAGCATCCAGTGAGTATCGAACCCACTATTTTTGCTGTAACTGTTTTTTAGCGAGACAAGCTTGCTAACCATTACACCACGCGGAGGTGCCCAAAGGGAAACGTTATATATTAGCATGCGAAATTTGTGTGACCATTGCCTTCACAATAGGTGAATGAGTAAATACTTCAGATCTAGTGCAGGGTTTGCTTTTGGGGAAACGCCACATCACAGAGGTCTGTCATTCACGCCTACAACCCGGAATTGGATCTCTGCTATTTCTGGTTTTTCTCGAAATTAATGTTGCTATTGAAACGGACGAGATTAAGGAGAAAGCGATAAGGCAGCTAATGGTAATCCCGGAAAAGGGACGGATGCTAAGTGTGTGATGTCCCAAGTTAATTATTTTGAAGAGGACTAAAGAGCCATTGATCCAGTTCCTTTCTTCAGGAACAGGGCGATCAAAGCTCTTCACAACTTCCTCTTCTACCAAGGGATTTTTGTCTCTTCATTAGCCACATTAGCTCTTTTTAAGCCATCCATTAAAACAAGCTTGTTGGCATATTACCCGTTGTAAATACATGTTAGTTACTCTACGCAGGGTAAATTTTCTCTTTATATTAATGACTTACCGGACTGAAGGTCGCTTATAAGAGAGCAAATTCATCACAAAATAAAATTCACGAGAAAAGAAAGAAAATTATTATGATAAATAAATGCTTTCAAAAAAAAAAGGGAAATGAACAAACAAACAAATCAGTGTGTGTATAAGTAAAGATTTCAGGGGCAAATATCCAGGAGATGGAAGAAGTGACTTTGAAGAGTGAAAAGAAAGATGAGGCTTGAAGGCAGAAAAAAAAAGAAAACAAAACAATTCGGAATGGAAAAAGAAGAAAAAAGAACAAGAGGCAATTTCGAGAAACGGGCGAGTCTACAATGATGAACACATGTGCCATTCGCATTCAAAACTTGACTTGTTTGCTCATCTATAAACAATGGAGGGCTGTTAAAAATATTTATTATTTGTTAAAGATTGTTGCAAGATTAGTTCAAATTCCATATCTCATCTTTGTTGCCGCGCACATATATCCACAGTCACACGTATCTCCGTCCCTCACTATCTCTATTGTTGTATCTCTATCGCTCTCTTTCTCCACATATATATATATATATATATATATATATATGTGTGTATGTGTGTGTGTGTGTACGTGTGTGTGTGATCTACCTACCTACCCACCCATCTATCTAAGTATGTTTATATCTATTTAGCTATCTCAGTTGTTTCTCTCTCTCTCTCTCTCTCTCTCTCTCTCTCTATATATATATATATATATATATATATATATATATATATATATATATACAGATATCTATTTCAGTTTCTTTATATCTACCTATCTATCTATCTAAAATTTGTTTGGAAAACAAGTTCTTATGGTATGTAGGACAATAATTTATTTAGAAACATGAGAAATTTTCTTCCTGACAAATATTTAAATCAATGATTTTTAAACTTTTTGGACAAATCACTACAAGTCAGAATGTCATCTCCCCCCCACCTCCGCCCACGGACAAAGATTGTCTGACTCAAAAGGCGTATTCCAAATAATATGCATATATTATTGAAAATCTTCATTGTTTTCCATATTAATACATACCTATTTATATGGATTAGTTCACATTTTACAATTTTAATAGCAATAGAAAATATTGATTGATATTTAAACTTGAATACAGTACAGTAATTTGTTTTAATTCATAACAAATTCTTAAATAAATAAACTGAAGCGGCAGAAAAATAAAATGTTCGTGATCGAGGCTATATTAGATGCTAAAAGTGGGTCCATATGAATTGTTCAATCTGGAGGTGGAGTCTAAATGATATGGTAAAATTGGATGGGGCTTTATTAGATGTTAACACTGGCAGAGAGCTAAATTAAACGTTAAAAGTAGAGGGGGGTATATCAGATGTCAATATGTGGAAGGAGCTAAATCAGATGTTTAAAGGAGAGGAGGGGCTAAATCAGATGTTCTAAGAGGAGGGATCTATGACAGATGTTAAAATGGTAGGAGATATAAATTAGATGTTAAAAGTGAAGGGGTCTATCATATATTAAAAAAAATGGAAGGGGCTAAATGTGAACTTATAAGTGGAGTGGGGGTCTATATCAGATGTTACAAGTGGTGGAGGCATATCACATATTAAAAAGTGAAGAAGTTACATCAGATGTTAGAAGTGTAGGTGGAGCTAAATGAGATAGATGTTAACTTTTAACGATTAGTAGTTTTATATTTTTGTCTGATCCTCTCATAAATTTAATAATTTTTAGATCTATTATCCTATTGTAAACATTTCTTTTTCTACTGGTTGTCCAATTCATCCCACAGCGCCAGTTCTGCTTATCAAAAGTGGCCCATTTGTCACTCGGAATTCGAAATAATATACTACAGTTAGGCTCAATAGCATTGTTAGAGATTAAGAAAAAGTAGACGATTTTATTTTTTTTAAATTTCGTTTTGAGTTCCAGGAAAAATTGGAGAGGTGAGCTGAAAACTCCCAGCCCTCCTGACAGCACCATGGATGTTTATGTCTTCTTACAGAGGAAGAACAGAACTGAAGCGAATATGAATGGGTTTTACCAAAGAATGTTTTGGACAAGAACATGTGACAAACGAGGAAATTCTAAAGAGAATAGGAATTGCAAAGAAAGTCCTGGTAAGAATCGGAAAGATACAATTTTGGATGTCATAATGAAGAAAAAAAGCTTAAAGAATTTAGCACTCACAGGGAATATTGAAGGCTAAAGATTTAAAGAAAACATTTAAGTGATTTAAGGAGTCTGATTAAAATGTTGATAGAACAAGGAGTACAAAGTACAAATGGGAGTGTAAAGGAAAATAATTACATCAACAAAATACAAGAAGTTGTGGGGGGTCCTTGATCGTCCATGTGCTGAAAGAAATTCCAAAGTTAGAATATGTGTGACATAATGTTCTAAGGAGAGTAGGAACTACAAGAATGCTATTTGTTGCATGAGAATATTTATGTATTTATAGACTAGAAATGTGGGGACAGTAGTGTCATATACTATACGATGATCATATTTTATTGTTTTAATTCATTTTTAAGTAGGATTTTGGATACCAAAACAAAGCTACTTTCGTTTTAATCTTATTAGTGAAACTATTTTGCCTTCCCTTAGTATGGCTGATGCTAACCACCAGAAGATCAACTCATTACGCCCTCTCGGTTTCATATTTTCTACTGACATGAAGTGAAACGGTTATGTAGAATCAATTGCGAGCAGCCTCCAGGAAACTTGGTTCACTGTGTCGTGCTGTACAGTTTTTCACGCCTGAATTCATCTATAAGACTATCATTCGTCCGTGCATTGAATATTGTTGTTACATATAGTATGATTCTTCTGCTATATATCTCTAAGAATTCTTGACAAAATCCAGTGAAGAATTTGCAATATGATCGGTCCTGATCTGGTAACACAGAATCAGTCACTTTCTCTCCACCTTAACATGCCTTTGGCATTTTTATAAAGATTTTCATGGCAATTGTTCTGATGAGCTTTCCTCGTTTTTTTTTTTTATTTAGTTTCTTGTATATAAAATTGTAATCATTGTAAATATTCACTGGTGTTTCATTTTTAAAAGCTGTTATTTTTATCTCCAGTTCCACAGACAAATTGTACAGATAGGAACAAGTTGAGACTATATAGACACTCGAGGTATTATGGTGACTGTAGTAAGAATAGTAAGAATGTCTTGTTTTGGTGTAAGGAATGTTTGGGTCAGTAATCGTGTCTAGCTAAGTTTAAGATAAGACAGATTGAAGACAAGTCTTCCCCTATCACCACTTTTTGGCCGTTGCCAGATTTTTATATTATTAAAAATAAATATTGCTTTCCTCGTTAGTAAATATACTTCATAAATTTAAGTCCGGTACTTGTTTGGAAATTAGGTTACGTAATTTCATTATTAGATGTAACTTTAAGTTCTATGCTAATCGTTTAGTCTCTGACAATACTCACTCGTGAAATTCACTGCTGGTTTATTGCTTTCCTATCAGCTATGATTATCAAAAATTTAAATGCATCGTCAATCGTCATATTCTGTCACCTTAAATCCCATTATTTTATTGTCCTCACTGTTTCTTTCACTGTAAATAAATACGTAAGTCTTACTGGCTACAATCGCTTTGTCCAGGTTGAAATGATTATAGTTAATATAAATTAAATGTCTGCTCCTTAGCTGAATGATGTTGCCTACAGTATCCCGACTCCGGAGTTTCATAGACAGACCCGTCCGTCCACTCGTCAGTGGATATCAGCGATTGACAGTTTATATTTCCCGATTTTTATTTTATATGCACTTATCATTGGTGCAAGTTTTTTTCAGAGTGAATGTGTGCACCCAGGCGCCCATCTGCCTGGATGTGTGTCCGGGTCTATGAGTCCATACGCCCGTCTGCGTAGATGTGTGGGTTATCGTGATTATTTGTCCTTTCCGTCGATTTTTTCTCCACTTTACAATCATTCCTTAGGCTTTCTTCTCTTTTTTCCTTTTTTCTTTCATTTGTTGCTATTTCGTTTCCGGTTTTTTTCTAGACATATCGTTCTTAATGTTTAATTTTTGATCGTTCTCGTTATATAATATATATATATATATATATATATATATATATATAAGTTATGAAGAACTTGGTAATCCGTATGGGTAATCCAGAGCTAATATTTAAAAGACAGGAAATTGGAAGCAACGTTTTTATAACCATCGCCAATCCTTCACAAATAAATCCAAGAAGCATCAAACGGCACCATCAAAACATTATTGGGATTTGTTGGAAAGCAACTTAACTCCACAAGTAAAATGGAGAATCGTCTCGAGGGCTAGAACTCCAATAAACTTCAGAGACCGATGTAATTTGTGCATAAAAGAGAAAATCCTAATAATAAAGCATAAAGATCCGGACATATTACTGAACAAACATAACGAGTTGATTTTTAAATGTAGACATAAAAGCCAACTCAGTTTAACTAAATATATTTAGAAATAACTATATAAAAATGGAAAATATTATTTTTATTTTTGAAAATAACATTGACATCTCTTTTTAACAGATATATTTACCGAAATTACACAAAAATATATTGAAATCTAAAGAGCAAATTTATTCAATATATTCGCCATTGGCTTCAACGCAGAAGAAAAATACACACAGTGGGACCGTCTTCGGAATCTCCTGCAAATCTTCTGGGCGGACTCTTTGTTTAAATTGTTGACTCCTTTCCTTCAGTTCATCTTTGGTGTTGCAAAAAGTTTTGTTGTTCTCTCGCTCAATTGCGCCCCACACATAATAATCAAGGGGGTTGCAATCTGGGGAGTTAGGTGGCCAGATGTAAGAGGTGATGAGGTGATAGAAATTGTCTGACAATCATGACTAGTTTCTCCTACGTGTGTGACATGGTGCAGAGTCCTATTGTCAGACATAGGATTGATATTACATCGTAGTTGAGCATACTTTTCTTTGTTCTTTTCAAGAAATCTTACCGCTTCTGAATACCCTGTTTAACTTTTGGAAGGTATCGTTCGCCGTGTGTCATATTTTCTGTCCTTTCTTAAAACACTTGCAACATAACTAATTTTCTGCACTTGATTGTTTTTAACATCTTTAGTTCGAAGCTCTGATCTTGAGCCATCCTTCTTGTTAACGAACAGCCATTCTGTTTTCTTACATTGATAGTGTTTTCTTCCCTTTTTTTTGTTTACTACTACATAGAAATGAATGCCGTTTTTTTTTCAGGGTCTCCACGGTGTCATCTGCAGATCATGTTGTTAACTTTAAGCTCATCAATAATGAATCCTGATAGGATTTCTAGTTCTCTTAGGAATTTAAGAAATACAAGTAAATGCAATAAAACTTCATTTCTGTGAGTATACC